AGTCCTAAAACTACGGCTTAAGGTTGCTCAATCTCATCCTCAAGCTCAGAGGAATAATCTAAAGATGCTCTCGATCTTGGTGTTGCAGAACGGACACTCCGCTCTCTTTTCCTTGATCAAAGTGCCACACTCGTAGCACAAGCAATGGCCGCACGGCACGATTGCCCCGTTCTTTGGGCTGTCAAAGCAGATGCAACAAACGTCGCTCCCCTGTCCGTTCTGCTTATCCGGGCCGCTATGATTTTTCGTCTTCTTCCGTCCTACTGCCCTATCTGATGCAATGTAACTCTTTGTTTGAACCGACGCCGACTCGCCCCAGGTATCGGGCCCACTCTCGAGGGTTTCAACCCAATCAGCATGAGCCGAGTGGCTTGATCCGGTCGAGTCTGATCCGGGGTTTGGTCGGTGGCCCTCAAATTTATACACATTGGAGAACGCAATTGAATTCGGAGGGGGTACGTTTTGACTAGCACCTTCTACCGGTAGGAGCATCGCCAGTATCGAAGGCAGCTCAGGGGAGAACGACTCAGGCTCCGGCGACCGCTGTGCGCCTGGGCCGGCAGCCTCCGAATGAACACCTGTCATTAGGCGGGGCACGTCATGGGTGACGTCTGCGGACGCTTCCACTGATGTCACGTCCATTCCACTTGTCGAGGGCTCAGGGTTTTTGGCAGTCGGTTGATCCACCGACGAAGTTCTGCCTCTTGGCGGGGTGGCCGGGACGGCGCTTGCCTCGGGAAACAAAGAGTGCCCGGTGGGAACCGCCGGGGTAAGGGGCCTCGCTCGGGCGAGGGGGTTGTACGGCGCCCGGGGCTTACGGGAGGCTTCACTGGTAAGCGGGGAATGCTGAGGGTTAGTGATAGGGTTGAGGTTAGGGTTCGTGTTTGGGTAAGGATAAGGATTTGCTTGCAGGTCTCCAGACCCCTGAGACAGCGACGCAGCTGTTGCTCGGGAGATGAGAGTGGCCCCGTTGCCTGAAGGAATCACCGCCGGCTTCGTCTGCCCTGGAAGGGCCCCCGACAGCTTTTCTTCGCGATTGCTTTTGCGTTTGCCCATTACATTCCGCACCGTCTGAACTACGCGCGGTCCGCTTTCAGCAGATTGGGGTTCGCCAGAAGGGTCGGCCTGATCCTTGGGAGTGAGGGCCGGGACTGGGAGTAGAGAAGTAGAGTCGTCATGGCTGACGTCAACACCGGGCGGCGCTCCCTGGGACGCAGGTGACAGCCCACTAACCGGTAGAAACGGCCAGTAGGGTTGTGGTGGGGCCTAGCTGGATATCCTGGCGCCCAATTGCCGCAGTCACAGATTCTGCAGAGGGCAGAAGCGAGTAGTTCGAGTTCCGGCCGCAGTATCAATTTGGAGAGCCTCGAAGTTCCGCAGATAAGTTCGGGTGCAACGTCAGCAGCTGCGGAGCGACAAATCCGCGGACTACCTAGCCGACCGAACAAAGCGGAGTGGCCGGAAACGGCCCAACCGTCTCGGCGGTGAATCTGCAGTAAGCGAACCATGGAGCTGCCAGTGTCAAGTCCCGGCTTCCAGGGACATGTTCATACTGTCTGGGACGTGACACCCAGGGCTCAGAGAATGATAACTAGAGAAACACTTTGTTGGTGAAACGGATCTAGGGAAACTTAGCTTCTGCAAGGACGGGTTTGCAATAACTACGGAAATGCACAAAGAAAAACTTGTCGACCAAAGACAGTGGCATCTTCTCTGTTTGGTAAGTTCACTTCATTCATTTAGGCAAGGAAAACTAAGAACAGGAATCTCGTGTGTCCGACAGCCGTTTCCACGGTAAAGTCCCTGTATATCTTCTCGCACAAGCTAGGCTGCATCATACACCTAAGGACAGCTTCGGTGTCTTTGAACAGAGAAGTTTCTTTTGTCGAAGGCCCATCTTTCTCAGATCCTCAATACCGAGGTGACAAGATGGAGTGCCCATTGATCGGAATTGTTTGGTCAGCAGCACGCACAAGATGGATTTGCCCCAAAAACAGTTGTGTTGCGAACTAAACGAGTGAGTAACACAGAGTCGTAACAAAGTGGGCCTTACCTGTCGCAGGTGCCGAAGAGCTCCCGGCCTTCGAATCCTGGCCGCCCAGAGTTCCGCCCCTGCCGCGCCCCGGCGGCCTCTCACCGGCTGCCACGTGGCTCTTCGAAAGCGTTTCCACGTCGGAGCGGCCTCCGGCGTTTGGCTTGCAGCAGTCGGGCGGTAGGGCCTTTGTTTCGCCCAGCGGAGACTCCGGGATCGCTGCCGCGGGTGGCGCATTGGGCGGGTTCGTAATCAGGGGCCTAACGGAGTGGGTCGGAGAGGAAGACGAGGCGGCTCCCGGACCCGTCTCCGTTGAGGCAGGAGAGGAGTCCCCTCGAACCTGTGCGAAAGGTGTCAATAATGCATCCTTGGATCCGTCGAGTCTGTATCAGCTACTCTGCTTGGACGTTCTTCAATTTGATGGGTAATGACGCTGCCAGTTTGAAGAGCTCTAGTCCGCAACTCTGATCGAACGCTTTTCTATTCGTTCCTGAGAAGTAATTTTCTGGACGACTCTAAGGAGCGGAGTGTTCTCTGCTCCACGCGGCCCCAGGCCGACGAGTTCACCGCAGGAAGGTGCCACGTGTTGGTGCAGATTCAAATGCACCTCTAGGACGCCATCGCGCCTGGTTTGAACGAGAGAGGGTTGTCCGCTTATACAGCTTTTTCAAACCCACCTCCTGGTGACCGCTGATGACGTCAGCGGCCTCCACTGCTCCTCTGCCTCTTGCGCCAACGCTGGGACGGTCCGACGGGGTCCGACTGCCGGCGCTTCCTGGCCCCTGCTCCGCATCTCCCTGTCGCCGCTCTCCTCTCCCCTGGTCGATTCCTCCGCCCATCTCGACATCCCCTCCCGAGCGGCTGGACGGTTCTGATTCCCCGGCCATTCGGACGCCCGATTCATCACCCGGGTCATCAACGGGTTTATAACTGGGCTTATTACGGGGTTTGCCGTCACTGGTGTCTCTTGATGAGTCGGCACCGTCGGCGGGGGGAGCCAGTGACGGCCCTGGGGCAAGCTGACGGGGCGAGCTGACGTCATCTCCGCTCAAGTCGACCTTCCCGGCTAATACTCCCCCAGCCGCGGCGGGTAAACGCCCCGGTGTGTGCGTCGAATGACCCTTTTTCTTTTTCTTTTTCCCTTTCTTCGTGGCCTTCGCGTCTGGCGCCAATTCGGAACTTAGCTCCGACTCGGCGCTTAACTGCAATTCAAGACAGAGAAATCCACATGGCTAAACGACATAATCTGACCCGATTCGAGCATAGAACTCGATCATCGGTGCGTCTCGCCTGTCTCTGCGGCCCAAATTTGATGGCTGGGTTTCGGACGAGTCGATAAGTCATGGTACATGGCGACTCAATCTGGTGGCTCTTTATAGAAACCTTGGTACAAGAAAACATCAAAGTTCACGGTACCACGTTCGCTTGACGGTGCAAGTGTCCGGTGTATGCATCTTCTGACTGGTGCGGACATAGAGCACGTTCAATCTGAATCCCAGACAGCTCCAAAACTACCTAGACTCCAAACGGTAGAGTGGTTCCGCTTCGGAACAAAGCCAGGTCCAAATAGAACGGAACAGGCCAACGGCTGAACCGACAAATTGCCTCAGGATCCTAGAGAAGCTCCACCCAAACGGTGCGATGAGGCAGCCACACTCACCAGTTCCGCTGCCGCCTGTTCCGCTGCTTCCGTGAGTTGGCACGGGATGCCGTCGGCGGCCTCCAGTGCGCTCGCGAGCAGTTCGCACAGCTCACTGGTGACCGCGGCCCGTCTGTCCCCGAAAGCCACCCGCAGCTGCAAGAATATGGTTTGGGCGTCGAAATTCTCCTGCAAGATCCGGAGAGAGAATCGGGTTTTAGGAGCCGGATTTTGAGAATCGGTTTTGGGGATCGGTTTTGTGATTTGGGTTTGAAGGATCGGGCTTTAGGGATCGGGCTTCAGGAATTGGATTTTAGGAAGCTGATAAGAGCTAGACATCCTGCTGGCATGCCCGTGCATCCGAACCTGGTCACCAACCGTCAAGCAGCTCTTGATCTGCTGCTCTTTCTAATCACTTCCGACGGCGAGTCACAGATTCAGAACGTGTACTGAAGTTGGTCGCCGTGTTTGGAGGAGTACTCGAAGTGCTGCAAGCCTTTCCGACCGTTGCGGATTCTGAGAATCAATTGTTTGTGGTTGACAACCAGAAAAGAGAGAAATAGGGACACGAAGGGGGTCGTACCAGGCCAAACTGGTCGACCGCGTTCGTACAGCGTAAACGATGCGCGTGTGTACAAATGAACCCAGAGTACGGGACTTCTTTTTGCCAGTATGCATGCACCTTTAGATATGGACGAAAGCATGCAATCGTGAGCCTTTCCTCCCTCAACGTCTGTTCGTGGGCCACTGAGCGGCAGTTTAACAAAAACTCTGCGACCAAACCTTGGCCTTGACCGAACCAAACCTTAGCCTTAACCTTAGCCTTAACCCTGACCTTAACCTTAACCTTTGCGATCGAACGTTGATCTTGATCGGTTAGAACTCGATCAGGTACTCCAACAGTCGGCTTCGGAATCTCGCCACGTGGCGCTTCTCAAGCCGCAAACGGTGGCTTACCGTCCCTAGGAGAACACGCTCAAGGTACTCCTCGCCGTAGAAAAAGCGGCCCCCGGTCTCGCTCAGCTTCCGCCTCACCCATTTCATGATGACGGCCACATTCAAGCACGACTTGACGACCCATCTTGGGTCACTCTCACAGCCCTCGGAGCGTCTTTCTGTGCCATACTTCACCGCCCCCTCGTCGATTTTCTTCACGAGATTGGCAAAATTCAGCTCCTCAATGGCTGCTTGGAGCTCAGGCTTCAGTCCATTCAAAATGTCGTAGTTCGTCTGAATCCACCCCCGATGCCCCTCCGGAACCTCGGCGAAACGCGCCTCCGCCTCCGTCAAGATTTTCTCAATCCAGATGGCATCAACCGGGACCGTGTCCGGCGCCGGCTCGTCCGTGAAGGTGGCCCGTGCGCTGAGCAGCGCGTCCGCGTACTTCCGCCCGCAGAACTCGGTCGTCTCTCGGTAGATGCAGTTCGCAAACTCGTCAGTTGCAACCGCAGCGGCCAGTGCCAAATGCGCCATTTCCCGCCCAGCTTCCACCTCCCTTCCGTCCAACAAGCGCGCCTTGGCTGCCCGGTAGTGCTTCCCAAGCGCATACGCGCGCACCCGTAGCGCCGCCAGTGCCATGCTCCGGACCGTCTCCCCAAGCCCCTCGTTCTCCGGCCGCTCGAGCCACGTCTGCATAACCGCAAAGTGCACCGGCGGGCTCCGGAGCAGGTCCCACGTGAACAGCCACCGAAGGCGCTCGCTGCAGAATGCGTTGAGGATCTCGCCCGCCTGTTGTAAGCTCATTCGCCGGAAGTGGACCGGACACCCGCGCAGAGCCGCTTCCCCGGTCCCCGACGCGTACCCGAGCAAGTGCTTCACCAGCTCCGTACCTTTTTCCCCGAGCGCGCGCTGAATCGCATCCTTCCCCCCAAAAGGCAGGATGCAGCTCGTCACGTCGTCCACCGCTTCCTTCACGAAGTTCCGCTGCCGGAGCGCGTCGATCCCGACGCTTCCCGCGGACCCGTCCGCGTGCATCAGGTAGTTCAAGGCCTTTGCCTCGCTCCCGCTAATCCCCCCTTGTCCCTCCGACACGGCTTCCAAAGCGGGCGGTCTTCACTCTCCCACCGCGCCCCTCGCTGAAGGCTCGCCTGCCGGTGCCGCTGTAAGCGGATTTGGAACTTCGACACTCGCCGGCTTGCTAGAGTGGTTGGTGCTCTTCGGATCGCCTCCGTCTTCTGTCTGCACACATGTTGAGAGCTAACTTAGAATGAAGACAGCACAGCCCGATAGCTTAGGGATTTGAAAACGACCGAACCGTTGCGAGAGCAGCCACTTCGATATGCGCACCGCTTAAGGGCTCCCTCGACTGTGATGGTCGAAATCTGACGGCAGGCATCCATCAAACGTAGAACAACCTCGAAAGAAGTATACATCAGAACCGTATCGTCCAGAAGACTTCATTCAAGGAAGAAGAGCTGAAAAGACCGCTGATCATCTGCAGCGCAAATGGCGAAGGCCTTGGCTTCTGAGTGGCCTCCAGAAGGGGGTGAAATTTTTCTAATCCGACCAGCAACTCGGAGCCTGGCCGGCACTATTCGTCCCGTCTTCGCATTTAGAAACATCGACCAATTCTAAAAGCATAAGTGGTCAGCGCCCTTAGGCAAGTTTCAAGCCCTGCTTCGAACCGAGCAGCCAAGTATCATAAAAAGGGTACGCTCCTCGTGCTCCTTTCCGTGGCAGGTAACCGCAAGATTCATCCACCGGCCGAACGAAGTTAGCTTGTCGAACCTCACCGTCTCTGTGTCGTCGCGAAGAACCTCGTTTAGCAGAAATCTCCGCACGGTGCCGAGGTCCTCTTTGTTCACCATCCGCAACAGGTGCCAATCGTGCTGCCACTCCGCGCTGGCGGCAGGGTCTGTAAGCGAAGCAGGGGGCTTAGGCTGGGGGTGAAAAAAACTTTTTCGAGGACGAGGTAAGAAATCTCTCCGGCTGCCTTGAAAGCTTTTCCGATTCAGCTATTCCAGGAGGAACCGAGAACTAGAAATATTGCTTCGTCCACGTAACACAGTCGCGTGCAGACTCTTAACAAGTTTAACACGAACAATCGTACAGGTAGTCGAATCGCAGCCTGTGAAAGCAACAACGAACAAAAAACAATACACAAAGAGAACTTCGCGAATTTCGAAGAATCACAAGTTTCATTCTGGTCTCTTGCAGGATGGATCTGACCAAGGTCCACCTGAGAAATATAACCCAGCAAACATCAGACTGGGGTCTAAGACTTTGTCCAGGAACCCTTAACTGGAACACACCTCGCACGAGACAGCTTTCCAGTCTCCTTCATGCACTTACATCCATAATATGCTTGATGCAAAGCCCTAACCTCGATCTTTTCCGAATCCTCCGCAAAATCTGATGCAACCTTGATCCGAATTGCGAGCGCAAGGTTCGCACTCACCCGGAAGCATGTCCTGCAAGTCGTTAACCAAGTACTGGAAGATCTTGTGCTGGTGGGCCAACAGCAGCCGCCTCCGCGCAATCGCCACCCGCACCGTCGTCAGCGTCTCCCTCAGCGCCGCGCGCCGCTCCGAATCCTCAACCACCGGAAGGTCCAAATCTTGATACCCCAATGAGAAGGACACGCATCGAAACCGTGCGTTGGACAGTAGTTCCCTGAACCATGGTTAGTGTTGCGTGTTTTCACGGCGTCCTCTAGCATGAGCCTGGCAGCCTGCGGCCCGTCTGTCGGAAGCATCGTGTCGACGTCGAAGTTGGCGGGGAGGTCCACAGGGACGATGAGTTCGTCGGGCGGGAGGGAGGGGTGCTCGACATTGTGGTGCGCCAGGTACTCGTTTGCCGACGTAAACGTGGCGTCGCACCTGGAGGCGGAAAGAAAGATCGATTGACTGTAGGACAAGCTTTTGACTATTCCCAGGCGCATGTCAATGACGGGCAAACAAGGCTAACAGCTCGATTGGCGGTCTAACTTTTCAAGAGGAGAATGGAAGTACCAAATACCTTGTTTCGAAAGTCGGGTCTAACAGACATTACACTTATGAAATCAAAATAACCAGCATTTCTCCACTTCTCGCGATTGACGAGGAGACGATTGAAAGGATTGCAAGCTTTCAGCACTTTTTGCAAAACCAAGTCTGGAATTTGAAGGGCATGCAATCATTATGCTCAAACCAGTCGGTGGCGTCGGTAGGAGCTGAACAAACAACTGGCTGTAGTTTACACAGAACATCATAAGCTGCCGCGAGATTGTGAAATCTTTACATCGCCCTTCGCTCATTCTACAGCGTGGCTGCTTTGTTCCAAGGCCTCATCCCAATTGAGCCTATGAACGCAAAGAGATGGTGACCGTGTTATGATCAGGAGCCTTTGACAATCTCTGGCAATCTCTGGCAATCTTTTCAGGCTCTTTTCGGCAATTTTGCGCAAGTGGCTGAGGACAACCATTCAAGGGAGTGTGGCAGCACTCACTCTTTGCATTCCATAGTATTTTCGTCCTCCTCGTCGGTCTCCATGACCTCTTCCTGTGGGCTGCTCGCCTTCCCACTCTCCCCTGGGTTGAGCGGCTGCGCTGGCTCACTGCTTGAGACCTGGCCCAGGTCCTGCCTCTTTTTCGCATGGGCACCCTTGACCTCGCTCAGCGTTTCCTCCGTACCGTCATTCTGACTTTTGCTTATCTCACCCAGTCCCTTCTCGCCCTCATCGCCGCCCTGCTGCTCTTCCTGCTCCTCGTCTCTCACCACCGGCTGCTCCTCTCTTTGCGATATCTGCTCCACCTCCGCCTTGGAAGTCTTCTCCATCTTCTCCGCCCTCCTCTGCTCTGATAGCGGCTGTGCCGACCCCATTTCCGTGCGCACCTTTGTAGTCAGCGGCACGAAATTCCCGTTTGCATCCACACTGCCGTTCTTGAAGATGTTCTGAAGGTCTGTGAGCTTAATCTGGCAAGAGAGCTGCCGCAGCTGGTGCTTGAAGTGCGCAATTCTCACCTCCGCTGTTCTCAACTCCTCTGGCAGCTCGTCGAGCATGTCTTCTGCAGGATCTGTTGGTTCAGCAATCGCTAGCGCGCGCTCACACTCAGCAACAGCCTCCACGTTCCTCTCCCTGCCCTCCCGCAGAGGCATATACTCCTGCAAGAGCGTTGCATAGAAGAAACCGTGCTCCATCGAGTTGGGGCTCAGGACCGTGGCCCGATTTGCAGCTTCCAGCGCGGCAGTCACATGCCGCTTCTTAAGCGCGCTCGCATCATGCTGATGCTCTGCCAGCCGCCTCTCAATGTACGCATGGTACCTGAACCCCAGGGAGACATTGGGGTGCCTCTGGCAGGTCTCCTTGATCGTTTTCTGAGCCCGCTGCGGGTTGTTCTTTAACGACTTGATTGCCTTTTCACATTCGAATCGCACAATCTCAATTTCACTGGGCCCAGACACGGCCACCTTTGCGGGCCCGGCGGCTCTGCCCTTATTCTTCTTCCCCATGTCCAACACAAACGGTGTGCGCCAGAAGGTGGGCCCACAATTGCAAGACAACCGCTGGGACAGGGACTGTACACAGTGCTTGCCAAAATCAGGAAACAATGTGAGGCATTGCCATGAATCAGCAGACAGCCAGCACAATCTCCATGTACAGGTGCAATAGTGAAGCGGAGCAACTACTGAGCTGGCGCAACCACTGTTTCTCTTAGCTGCCAAGCGCAGCAGACTCGTCCTACACCGCCGTCTACTGCACCCTCAGCTTCAAGTACTTGCCTGAGCCTTGCTGCATTGAACACGGTGTCGACGAACTGGCGATTCATCAAGAACAGCTTTGAACAAGCAATGCAACAGATGTGCTACCAAAGGCATCACGTCCTGAGTCCCTCCTGACTTCCAGTGACTGCTACTACTAGCACTGGCGTCCACATGGTGCTTTCCTTTGAGTAGATCCTTCTCCCTAGCTGACAACACGATACAATAGAGATGCCAAATGAGAGAAGGCGAAACACGCGATCTTGCAATCCTGGTCGTTCATACCAGGACCTTTTCAATCGACGGTGCGAGCGCACTGATTGGAGTCGTCTGCATACTGGCAACTCTTGCTTTCACTAAGGGGTGCTTTCACTAAGATACAGGAGCCCCGGGCTCCTCAACCAAAAACTCTAACCTAAATAATGACCCGCTCCGAACCCGTACCCACCCTAACCCCCAGACCAACCCCACCCGTCCCCCGGGTGCCTGTCTTAGTGAAAGCACCCCTTAGTGAAAGCAAGAGTTGCCAGAGTGGATCGTCTGCCTCGGCTGCATACTCTAGACTCAAGTTCTCAACTTAGCATAACACCGTTGGATCAAGTCGATGCCCCTACTTTCGTCAATCTGTCCAGATCGTGCCAGGTGGCAGGAGCGGATTCGCTTTCTACACTGTGCATGCTTGCCCTGTTGAGCAGGCTTGAAGTGGAAGTTGCCGATCAAAGCTGGGCACTGGGTTGCCTGTTGCCTCGCGAGCTCAGTCGTCAGAAACTAGGGTTGCTTCTTTGTAAGGAGGAAAAGTTGCCCTTTTGTTGTGCTGAATCAAGCCTCTGCACCAAAAGCGTTTTGCAGCGTTTTTGAGGAACGTCATGGCGACAGGACTCGCCAGGTTTGGGGAGAAGCCCTTTGCTCATGAAGCTGTCGAGCCAGAGATTGCAATAGTGTGTGCTGCGGACCGGCAGAATGGGAACAATTATGAAATGAGGAGAGTAGGAGCAGAGGATGCCATTGATGCTCTGGTGCAGGGCCTGGAGGCTGCCGGGTTGAAGGTGGACCGAGTGATGGGGAGGAATGCGGAGCAGTTTCTCAAAGTGAGGTGCTGCTACTAGTCACAGCTGCATGCATGTGGCGTGTTGGGTGTTTTCAGACATCAAAGAAGCAATCGTTGGCATACTTACTTGTAAGTAAACCTGGTTTCCACTTTGAAATGCCGTCGTGCTCTGTAGCAAAGGCTCTGCGTGCTGCGGTGCTGGTGATAGTCTGTGACAGTAACTTCCTTATTTGCGCTTGTCCACCACAACATTGAAACACCAAATGGCAAATAGTCCCGATAACATTCTCAGCAACAGCTGCATGCTGCAAACATATAGTGGTTGGCATTTTCCGGGTCACATTGAGCAATTGCGGTGGATCTCTGAAGTCCGGGCCCAGAATGATCCTGGCGAAAGATGCACTGTGGGGATCATCTTCACAGTTTTAGGGTGTCCCACATAGAGCTTCTCGAATTGGCAGAGTACTATGTGAAAGCCCACTTGTTGCAGGTGGGTGCCCCGCTGGAGGTGATTGGAAGAGAGGCGGAGCGACTAAAGTTGACGAAGTTGACAAATTTGGGTGAGTCCAATCTCTGATTGTTGAAGCAAGCAGGAAGGAGATAGACTTGCTATCAAGGCTACAGGGCTTGAGAACTGGGCGCATTTCACGCCCATGTGTCTTTTGTCTGGCTCTCTGAAGCTTCTCTTTTGTAGAAGGACCTACGGGCTTCAAGCAGTAGCAATGTCAAAGACGAATGCTGATACGGATTCTGCCACAATCTCCCCCTCCAAGAAGCCAGTTGTCTTTTGAGTATGCGTTCACGTGCCCACTTTTCTGGCGCCGTGGCAGTAGACCCCCGTAATGCAATAGGGCGTTCTTCTTACATCATCCCTGTTTCTGCCCACTCTGTTCATTGCCCCACCAACTCGGTCCCGTGTCTGTTTTTCAGGAATTGACACACATTTCAGTTGGGATCTGCGAGACTCTTTCGTCCCTCAGCCTGATGGAGCTCTTTTCAGCCGGACGGAGCGTTACCAGTGCCTCGAGTCCATCATTGAAAGCATTGTGAGTCTGCCTTCGTTTTCAGTATAATAGCCCAAGAGGCCAAAGGAGTTGGAAGCGGGCACCGGGTCTGCAATTGGCTCTCAATTTCAGGCGTATTGGCAAGCACTTCTCTGCGGAATATCCATTGTGGGATAATGCAATCAGGAAGGGGACTTAAACTTAGAAGCTTTTGCGTCTGCAATACAATGCTAGTGTAGCGCCCGTGCATCAAAAGGCCGAATTGCTCATCTAGCAGGCGATCACACCATCTGCATTCTCGAAACACTCAACAATCAAGCATTTGGGTTTCCTACAAGGCAATGCCTGCTTTTTCGCTCGATCGGATTCTACTCGTCCTGGACCAACGAACTTCTCATTTTCTAGGAGGCCAAGACCAGTAGCCCCACCGTGCTGGCGCTCCCAGGCGGAAAGGGCCATCTCGAGATCACCCGGGGCACCAAAGCTGTCGCGGCGCTGCGCGAGAAGGGGGCAGTGACGGACATCTTCCCTCTGCACAGTGAGCTTCCTCGTATTCTTGGGTCCTCCTTCAAAGTGGTTGAGCTGACGCACACGAGTCTGGGACTTTTGTTCACGTGCCCTCAAGGGCCATTGCAGGCAGGCTGAGATTTCAAGGGTTACCCGAATATGGTCCTAGGAAACTGTGGAATCCAAAAAGGCCTCACGTCGTAGAGTATAACAGTGAAGGGCCTGCCAAGGCTTGGGCCTCTGGCTCTGCAACAAAGCCTGGAAAATGTTTGTACTTAGCTGTTTATTCCGAATCGACTCCCGGTGTGCCTTCTGCAGACGAGTCTCAACGGCAGGAGCTTGTCCGCCACTGGCCGTTCAACTTCTTGGGAGGCACCAAGCAGCCGCTGGACGATATCTACTCCTACTTCGGTCTCAAGGTATGCACCAGCCCGCAAGACATCCGAATCAGATGGTCATGAAGCCAGCAGCAAAGAAGCGCATCATGAAGCCAGCAGCAAAGAAGCGCATCATGAAGCCAGCAGCAAAGAAGCGCATCATGAAGCCAGCAGCAAAGAAGCGCATCGTGAAACACAATGCACTTCTTTGCTGCTGGCTTCATGACCATCTGAATTCAAGCGATGTTCAGCTTTGGTCCGTCTGTGTGGGTTCCTAAGAGGGCTTTGGACGGTTCAGATCACAATCTTCATGGCAAGGAATGATTTTGAACAAGTAAAGCATACGGTGGGTTCACTATAAGAATGTGCAGCCAAATTTCCCATTCCGGTACAACCCTTTCTGGCTTTTTGGGTACCACCCTTTCTGGCTTTCTGGCCTTTGTCGTTACTTTTGTCAACTTCCAAGCTCACATCCGCAAAAAGAAACGCGCGCCTCAACCAACATTCAGGTCATCCTCGGGAATTGTTCATGGATCTGACTCCGCCTTATAAAACGCCGAAAACGTCCCAGACTCGTTCGTGGATGATACAGGAATTGACTTCTGATGAGCTTAGGTCTTGGACGACCTAGAAACTCAACAATTATTAGAAACAGAGTACCCTAAGACTGCCTTTTCCTAGCTTATCTTATAAATGTGCTGAATCTGTTAAGGCCAAAGCTTAAGATTCAGGAGCTTACAAGACCCTCTGGAACAGTCCCGTTTACAAATGGACTTTTTTCTTTAAGACAGTTGCCAATTACGTGACTATAAGCCTGAATACTATTGCACTACGGCACCTGTTCTGACCTATGATCCTTCTGCCAATTGTGAAAAGATCTTAGAGTTTCTAACGTTTTGCACAGCGCCCAACCTGGGGAACAAAGAGCTGCTTTTAGGAAACGACTTTCTTAGTAGTCATCGTTACATTACAAATCCACCGTGCATTTCTTGCAGGTCGCCATGTATTTTGCATTCCTGGGGTACTACACAACGTGGCTCGTCTTCCCGGCAGTGGCGGGCGCGCTGCTTCACTTCGTCGATCTCAGGTGCGGCCTCCGTCTCTTCGCCGTTCTGATCGTTGCTATTTGAACCTCAAGCTTAGCCTAGTCAGCGTCTGTAAAGCATCGATACCGGTTTATCCTTCCCATTGTATGGCCTGTATGGGCCCAATGAGGGCTCATTCAATGGCACTTTTACTCGCGAGTTGACAGATGTTGACTGGTCACATATCTTTTTGGTCACTTCGATTCACTCAAAATAAGTCAGATTTGACTTTTGTTCCTGAGATAAAAAAGTGCGATCTTGCCGCTCGGAAGGCTGTTTTAGCCTACGACTTACCTTTGCGCTCTACCGAGTCTCTCTTCATCTGCTCTCACTTGAGGCAATATCATTCCATTACACAGATTCGTCAATATCGTAGCCTCTTCGCGAGGAGCTTGTGCAGCGCGCTTCTTCTTCGGTTCACAATTGTTGATGCTTACCTTTTTCTTTCGTCGCAGGTCGTGGAACAGCCTGGTTCCGCCCTTGTTTGCGATGGTGGTCGTCATGTGGGCGGTCGCCTTCCTGGCCTTCTGGAAGCGGTACAACACCGAGCTGCAGGCCAGGTGAGTTTAAGGATGTCCAGAATGTGTCGCTGGAAAATTTTCTGGCATTTAGAATGCGCGATGACAACGGTGGGAACGAGGAGAAGCCCGGGGGTATAAGTCGACATCAGGAGGCCCTCTAGCGTGCTTGTCAGCTATGTGGACCTGCGTTTCGGGTAGATCCACGACGCTCAGGGTCAGAACGTGGACGCGACGAATGGCGAGTGACGAATGAGGGAACGGTGAAGTTGGCGCTATGTGGACTTAACCCGGCTCACTGCCATGGCAGTTTATTTCCAATGGAAATGAAGGAGGCGACACCGTCCGTAGGACTTTTGGTTGCCTTCCTCTCAAACGCTTCTTGTGCCTGGAGTTTGGGGATATCAACTCCTATTGAACACTCTTTCGTTAGTGACAGATTCGTGATCTCTTTCAGATGGGAGGTGAACATCGAGCAAGACGAAGTGCACACGACGCAACCGTGGGACGAGCCGACGAACGAGCCAAGCCACGGAATCGCGCAGCGTCCGGCGGTGGACGGCCCGAGCCGCGCTCTGCAGCGGGAGGAGTGGAAGGACCGGCTGCTGACAATGAAGAACAACTTGGTGGCCGTGGGGGGTATCTTCCTTCTGCAGGTATAGGCCGGCGGCAAGTCTAATAAGGTTCTGATCACTCTGGCATTGAAGTCGTAGAAAGTCCGAGCGTCCGAGTGGTTTATATCAGCTTTCTGAGGCAGCGGAGTCCAGGAAACAGACAAGGCTGACGTTCTTCTTATTTTTTAATATCTACAGAAGCAACATCCTGATTGGTCGGTCATATATGTTGACAGTTGCAGGTTCAGAGAGAAAGCGACTGCGTGTCTCTTTTGGGTAGGGGCAGAAGACCGGGCATCACACAGAGACTTTATACGTCTACTTTTGGGATACGCAAGTCTAGGTTGGGCCGATGAGCTGATGGACACTGCTCAGCGCCAAAGAGAGAGAGGAAGTTTTCGAGCAGCAGCAAAAGCGTTGAAACTTCACAGCAGCGGTTGCTAAGAAAGTTCCAAACAACCACCAAACGATCCGCGCACGCGTAACGTTACCCCCAAATATCGACGAACCAAGCCTGGATTTCGATGACCAAGTCTGGTGTAGAGCTCGAGTTCGGCTTGATTGATCCTTTGGTTTTTGGTTTTCACGAATTAATTGGTTGATCGTAGGCATCTTTTTTATAAGTTTGAATATTGAAACAATTCTTGGTAGAAATTCCTGTCTGATCGCCCTGTCCTCCGTCAGGCCCCATACGAGATGCTGTTTGTGTACTGCTTCCACGCTCTCGGCGGCTCCCCGTTCAAGTACGTACTGCTAGGCGCCAACTCGGGGATCGCAGGCCAGATCACCAAGCTGGGCTCCAGCGTCGCGATGCGCCTCAACAAGACGCAGACGTTCGTCAGCAAGGAGCAGGAGGCCGACGCGCTGGTCTATAAGGTGAGGTTTTACAGTCAGCCTCGGAACGGGAAATCTGCAGAGGCTTTTACGGTGTAACCGCTATAGGGCCAGGTCACCCAAGCTTGGCTCCAGCATTGCTCTGCGCCGCAGACGTTCGTTAGCAACGGAACAAGAAGCGGATGCACTGGTCTACAAGGTGAGGAGCGCTTGCAATCAGGTCCGGAAACATGTCTCACAGAGCGCTCAGATTTTGGGGCTTAAGGAGAAGGATCAAGGGGAGGCTCGCAAACAATCGTCTCTGCAGATCTCTGCAGTAAGTTTGCGCCTGGTTAGGGGTTCCCGCTTCCCCGGAATGATTGGGTCTCTGTCAGACATCATGTTTTCTCGCTTGTTCATACCTTACATGTGACGGCAAGCTTTCACCGCTCTCAACTCGTTCATCTTGCAGGCTTCGAAACGAGAAGCCCCTTCGATCTTACTTTTTCTACTTTCTTCCTCGCGACTTTTTGCGAAGGTCCCGATCAAAGTCCAAACCGTTCCCTCACAATGACCCCTCAACTGTATGCTGCAGACGTTCGTCATCTACTTCCTCCAGTCCTTCATGGGCTTCTTCTACTACGCTTTCTACATTCGAGACTTTTCCATGCTGCGCTCGTACCTCTTCAGCCGCCTTTTCACGAACGCCGTAAGTCCTCGTCACGGAGGTTTTTGACCTTCCAAACTCTCCCTTCTTCTCAATTTTCCTTATTTGGAATCCTTGTTCCCGCTGTGTACTACACCTTTGTGAGTGCAATCAACAGCCACTCTCCGCTCGAGGGCGCCTTGGATAAAGAACGACGATGCGGCCCTCTTCAACCCGTTGGGGGCAAGCAAGTCAACAAGCATCGGGAGGCGTGCGCATGTGTTTTGCAGCATGTATGGCAGAATTTGAAACTTCGCTAAATTGCGTGCAAGCAGATCTTAGGATGAAGAACTGAACAGCGAACCCAACGCAATGGAAGCGGGCGACTTCATAGACAAGACTCACTTAATTGGCAAACGGTTCGTCTGTCTTGATCCTGGCGGGCCAAGCACCAACGATTCCAAGTTATGGGTTGATGGAAAGACACTGTAGGTCAAAATCCACTTAGGATTCTGGGTGGGCATGCGTGTAAAATTGTCAGAAGCTTGTAGCGTTTGCTCGTCTACGGAAGCTCGACTTGGCGAGACTTGTTTCCCAAAAGATCGAGAATTGATCAGGCAAGTCTTGTTGCGACTTTGCAGATCATCCAGAACATCACGGAGGTGGGCGTGCCGATCTTTACCTTCTACATGAGCGAGCGGAAGGCCCGACAGTGAGTCGCTGCTCTGAAAATCTCGTTGCTTAGCCGGTGGCAAGGACTGGTCCAGCAGCTTTGCACCATGGATGGAGCTCGAGAAATGGAGCTCGCGAATGAAGTCCGAGATCTTTGTGTTTTTTCTGCTTAGTTACGGTCAAAATAATTCGACATGGTCTGGAAAAGGATGGGTAGCAATCGTCGCGTCGAGAGGCGCGTTCTGGACGTTGATTGACGGCGTGATTGGAAATTCACGACCTTCCAAGAGCGAGCTGGTGTCAACAGTAATCAATTTGTACATCCGGTCCAAAAGCACATTGTTTTAACAGAGCAGAAAGGATCAACTATTTGTTATCGATTTTAATCTGACTGAAATTACAATGAATGCCGGGAAAACGCTCCATTTCGAAAAGCCACCACCATACCTAGATTCCATCCACCTCCTTCTGCACGAATTGAAACATCGAGATGGTCTTGCAGCGGACGCATGTTTTATCCATCGAAATCTTTATCCCAAACCCTCCCGCAAGTCCTCGCTCCCCTTTCCCTTCCACCTCACTACTTCCCCTTAAAAACCTTCCACCGACTTCTTCGCTTTTCCCTCTGCAGGGAGGAGCAAGCCGAGAAAAGAGAGACCAAAGAGAAGGCCAGCCGCTCGTCCGCGTCCCGCGTCGAGCGGGAGTCCCACATGCCGGCTTACGTGGCGAGCATCGGCGGCGGCGCATACGACGGCACTTTCGACGATTTTCTGGAACTCGCGCTCCAGTTCGGCGTCGTTACCATGTTTGCGGGGGCGTTCCCGCTCGTTGCGCTCTTTGCGCTGGTCAACAATCTGGCGGAGATCCGAAGCGACTCGTTCAAGCTGGCGTGCACCATGCGGCGGCCGGTGCCGCACCGGGTCGCGTCGATCGGCGCGTGGCTCAATATCTTCCAGGTACTTCGTCCAGAGGTTTGCTTATCGAACACAAGAGCTTCTTTGATAGGAAAGCCTCTTCTCAGAACCTAGTAGATCTTATAGAATATCCTTCTCGGTGTTTGGTAAGAGGCCCATTGAAGGCGTATCTACTTTCAACTTCTTCCAGGTGCGGGCATTGATGATTGGGAATGTCGAAATCTGAACTCGCCTGGATGCGATTGTCGACGGCCCACAGGTCCATGCTTTAATATGCACGGGCAATTTGAGAAAATATGCTGTCCACAATCCGCAGCAGTTCTGCCAAAAGTCACTCAAATAAACGGGTTTTTTTTCACAAATACGGTGCGCCTACCCGGGCTCCTGAAGCGCTTAACCCGCTGCACTGGTTTGCTCCCCGTAGTACTTGGGCGTCATTGCGATCGTCAGCAACTGTTTGCTCCTCGTCGTCATCTACGACGAACAGAAGACGTGGCGGATCGACCCGGGCCTGCTTGTCCTGCTCATCGTGGAGCATTTGCTGCTGCTCGCACGCAACTCCCTCGCCTGGTTCATTCCTCCGGTCAGTCTGTCATATCTGTTTGGCCGTGCTCCCTTGGCACATCTTTCTGCGGCTTGCGAATGTTATGTGCTCACTAGTGAGTCGTCGCCTGGTTCCTTCCCCCGGTCAATCTGTCGATTCTGCCTCTTTCTCTTTTCGAACGTGCGCCGCTGGCACATGCTTCTGCTCACTTGGCCGGCTTGCGGATGCTGTATGCTCACTAGTATATCCACCCTGGTGCTTTCCCCCGTCAGTCAGCCACGCTTGCGTCATTCCCCTTCAGCCGCGCTCGGCCAGTGCAGTCTTTCAGCTCAGTCGGCTGGCGTCAAAGCTCTATAAAGTGTCCTTTACTGCTTGAAAGTCGGTCACCGACTTGCTGCTGGCGCTAAGATTTCTACGCCTCTTTCGGTCCACGTTCAAGAATTTGACTCGCAGATCTTGTATGAGACTTTTCTTGCGGATATGATTAAAAGCAGTCGATTGGATTGTAACTGTCGACAGACTCGAGCTCTTGTTCAGCCATCTGATTGTAAGCAAGGCTCGATCTTTGCAAGTATTGCGCATTTCTTCATTGATTCTGCCCGGGAGCACGTACTGTAGCGCAGATCTTGCCTTGCTAACATATGGAGCCTCTTTGACTGCTAGACCGCAATAAGAAGAGCAAGTCTTTTCCTTTGTCTTGACGGGAACGAGTAGCCATGACATGCGATGCCTTCTGACTCGGTACTTTGAGCATCCGAGGGATCAGTTGTCAGCCGCAAATCTGGTAGTCGTTTGTAGCCCCAATCATGGTGCATGTTTAACGGCCATATTCGAACCCTTCCCTTTCATCAATGCAACAGGATGCTCACAACTTTTTATTTGCCGTTTCAGGTGCCGGCTTGGGTGCAAGCAAAACGGGAAAGGCGGCGGCGCATCCAACAAAGCTATCTGCATCAGTCTCTGTCGGGTCCAAAAGATCAAGCCTACGAGAAGCTGCGTTTGGCTGGGGCTTAGGTCGGTGGTGGAAACTTGGAGAGTTGCAAGAGCTTGGTATGTGAACACACATGTAAGATACAGATAGGCTTGATTCCGTTTATGGTATCCGAGGTTCCCAATCTGCTCACTCATGCTAGCCGGGAATCCCGCGGTTTTATCCGTATTCAACTAACCAGCAGTCAAAGCATTCCACGCGATACGTGTCGGATCAATCGAGCACGCTCGAATTAACCAGATGTCTCCAACGAAGTGAGGTGATGCCATGTCCTTTTCTGATTGCCATAGGTATATCATATGTACGTGAGTATCATGCGGTATCTAATTTGACTCACTACAGCTGCCTCGCGTGCAAGCCTCTTTGCTAATTGTCCGGCTTCTTCGATGTTGTAAGCGAAAGTGGACTTGATCTCTTACATACTAATTGATTTTATCAACGTTCATTGTTGCGGATTGCACATGCGTGCATCACTGTATGGCGATTGGCACTCACATAGATCGACAACAATGCATGCTCCAAGTCGAGTAGCGCGCACATCAATTGCGCCACAAACACAACTTTATCCAAATCCGTGTCCAATGAACCTATGGTCTTTTGAAGGCCAAAAATGGATCCAGAATTGCATGTATCCAAGAATAGGAACGATCTTCAAAGCCCACCCTGCAGCTCGAAACTTCAGTGCACATGGAAGTCGGCTATTGTTAACTTAGCCCGGCCGGTTGATCCAACTATGGAGGTGAGTGCTTGAGCTCTAGGCAGGGGAGTGTCCAGACCGGTAAGAACCAGTGACAAGGTGCTCCTGGCACCAATTTTTGACATGTGGCAGCTCTTGCTATTAATTTAGCGATTCAGCTATTTACGATCCAGGGGCGAGGAGGCCAAAGCCAGCCTGGCCCGCCGGGGTGGCCCAATTGTAGACCAGCTCGGACACGATGGCATTGGTGGTGGTCAGCCTGCGGACGTGCGAATGGTCAGTACTGATCGGACACCAGGGCCGCTAGTATTCCCACCCAATTACTTGAATATGGAACGGTTGAAACTATTTTTCCCTTTTCTTTCCTTGGCTTCTTTGATAGGAAATGTCTTTACCTAGCCCACAATCACTGGGCCAACCCGTTCCACGTCTTTGCGTTTGGAGATTCCGTGATTGATTGTCGAACCCTGCTTTCATACTCCAAAACACAAAGCCGGGTCGGTCCCGTCTCGCTAAGATGGTCGAAGGATGCTCTCATGCCTTCCAGCTTCCAAGCAGAAGATGCCCAAAGGCTAAACGAGAAACCCCCAGTAGAAAGACGCTTTGGGAACAGTATTGTGCGATGCGTTTGTCAAACTGTCCCCAGAGCACGCTTTCAGTGGGCAGTGGAATCGGTGTAGGTCGGGTGATCCGAATCCTCGTGTATAAAAGGGTTAAGTGAAGAAGCTCGTGAGAATAGCGAGCCAAGAAAAAGTCTTGCTTCGACAAAGCTGAGACTTGGATGATGATCCTCGTGTTGCGAGTCACTCCTAGTTACTGATCGTAGTTCCGGGTCCTCCTTCGACCAATATTCTTTCGTTCTCTAATCTTCGTTTGAACGCTTCAATAGGCGACCTCTTTCATCAAACGGTCCGACGAAATGCGTCAGAGTCACTTGTATCCAAACAGTAATGGATACATGGTTGGGTTTTTAATGGAAATCTCTCGATGTATGCCTCAAAGGCCGTCTAGATAATAACGCCATGCCCGGGAGACAGGGAGTAGTTTGAGGTGGAATAGGTTTGCGAAGCGTGTGGGCATTTAGGTCAGGGTTCTACTTTCTCTCTCCCCGGTTTTAATTATCCTTTTCTTCACGGGCCTCACTTCCACTCTAAGAATGATAACCGAGAGTTAATTCTTTGGACGCTTTTGGCAGAGGTGCCCACCTGACGTTCGCTTTCTCCATGCGCTTCCACGCCGTTTGGTCCTCCATGACGGTCTGGGAGCCGGACGCATCCAAGACGGCCTGCAACGTGTAACAAGGAAGGGTTTGGCTACTAACCACGCTGCGGAACCAGACTTGAGTTCGCTTCAACGACCAATAACCCGGCTGTGACCATGTTAGTTCTGCTCGAGTCTGCTCACTGATGACGTCACCAGCTTCCGACCAGCTCATACCAACTACCATTAAGCGTCCAACAAACCCTGTGTTAAAGAGGCAGGTTACTTCCTTGCGTGATTCCGTGGTGAAAATCTAGCAACCGTTCCAATGATCCCGCCCTCATGCTCCAGTATCTACGTCGGAACTGGCGTTAACGATGGAATGATGAAGCATCTCATTGAAGAAGTGCGAACCAGGCCGGGCGAGAAAGTCGGGGATTTGTCCGAAAAAGCGAGACGCCAAAAGCAAGCGTCATGACTGCGCTCGTGGGTCAGTCGGGCCGCGAAGTCTCTTTTCGGGTGATAGATGCTCGTTTAGAGTGCCGTTCTGATCGAATGGCGTTATGGTCGTGACGAGACTGGTGTAAAGTCGGTTCATCGGTTTGAGGACTGCAGATTTCCGTGCGCGCTTTTAACTGCCAGCATTGACTTCTTTTGACGGTCTGAAAGCATGACTCGAAGCACCAGTGGAAGCTCAGGGTGCCAATTTCGTAGCTACAGAAAGCACCTGATCCCAATTCTGTTCGTGTTAGTCACCACTTCAGCTGTCCGACTCATCAGATCGACGCTCGTCTGCACGTTGAAGCCCTCGAGGACTGCTGACGTGGCGGGCGGCACGACGGCATCGAAGATTGTTCGACGTCCCTGCTTTCCTGATCCATTCTCTCGTCAATCAGAGCGCATTCAAGAAGAATCTGTAATTGCAGCACGCTGTTGGAAGAGGTGACGTGGCGGGGGTCAGGGTTTTGAACGGGGGCTACTCGATATCCGACTGTTCGAAACGAGCCTCGCCTAGGGTTTCGCCCCTAAAGCCGCCACGTCAGCCCTTCCAACTGCATCCCCGGCCCCGGTCCCCAAATTACTAATTCTCCTCGACCCCGCTTAATTCGTTCAAGGTCTCAAGAACGCAGGAACGCGAATTGAGCTCAAGAAAGACAATAACAAGCCGAAATAACGATAAGGTGACCGCACTGGGACGGGTAGAATTAGTTTGTTGATTAGGGTGGGTCTGGGTCGGAGCAGGGGTCTTTTTGGGTTAGATTTCTAGTGTTGGTCGGAGCTTATATCATCTTTCTTGAGAGCGCAGGAACGCGACTCGCCTGCACGTTGAAGCCCTCGAGCACTGCTGACGTGGCGGGCGGCACGAGGCACACGTCAGTGGTCGCGCCGGCCATGACGAGGTTGCGCTTGCCGGTGGCGCGCACCGCGGCCGTGAAGGCCTCGTCGTCCCAGGCGTTGACGACGCCCACGCGCTTCACGCGCTTCTCGTAGGCGTCGGACAGGGCCTCCTGGATCTCGGGCAGGAGCAGGCCTGCGAGGAAACGAGGAAGTGTGACGTCAGATGCCGGATTCGAGTTAAGGACTGGGTCGACACTCGAAGTAGGGGAAGTCAAATGACTAAATAACGAAGCCACTGGCCATGACGAGTTGACCGTCTTAAGTTTCATGTCCGACTCTTAGTTGGGTTGATTCTGGCACTACTAACAGATGAAGGATTCATAAACGAGTCCGATCAATCATCATTAGACACCAGTTGCATTTACGAGTTTCGTCTTGGGACCCAAAACGCAAAGAGGGTCGTGCCAGAGCAGTCGATAGGAACCGTTCAGAGGCGGGCGCGACGTCAAGGAGATGACTCGGCATAGGTAGGTGCTCGACAAACCACGACGAGTAGATATTTGGATGAGAATTTTAAGTCACAAGTAACCAATGAGTCTCGAAGCGGAGCAGTCGCGTGAGGGCTTACACAAGGAATATTTACTGAAGCCTGGCGTTGGAGAAAAGGGGCAGCAAATCTGCATCACAAGTGCGATCCGATCGGGACAGGCGTTGGTGTAAAACTGACTTGAAGTTGGATTTAAGCACAAGTCTGAGTGCTTGTAACGGCGAGGGGAAAAGTCTGTCTCTTGTCGACTGGTTAGCCTCTCCCGAGCCTAAGGTTTTGTGGCTAGAAGGACATTGAAAGGCTGCTGTGAAAAAGCCCAAAACGAGAGACCGAATCAAAGCAGAGGCCCCACAATCGGGCGACGACTTCGTGAGCGTGCCCACATATTCGCCTTCAGGTAAATTTTGGCTAAACCAGTCTTGCTAACCAGGCTTGCTAACCAGCTCTTGGCCAGACCCTAGCCAGGCCGCTCTGGTTAGCGGCGCTAATCAGGCCTTGATGACCCAATAACCAGACCTGGTTATTGCTAAGTTTCAGGTCCGTTTTGGAAGAACCAGACTTCGGTGACCCGCTGCGAGACTCTGGTTACGTGCAACCGCACTCATGCCTCGGCTGCAAATCTCCTTCAAGAGAATGCACTACATTTGAAAAGAAGGCCTGCCAACACTGGCTGATCTCAGAACCCACCCAAAAGGAGAGCTTCTTAATAAACGTGTACAGGATAACGCAGAGATACACAGACCGACAAACGAATGGGGCGTCAGGTCGGATTCGATTACGCACCCTGCACGTTGGTCTCCATGGATGACGTCAGCACGGTGGGCATGCCGGTCGCGGCGGCGAACTTGGCCAGGATGACGGTGTTCTTGAGAAGCGTCTTCTGGTCGATGGAGTTGATCCAGCTACAGGTGCCCACCTGGAGAATCACAGGGTTTTTTGGCTATTTAACCATAGTCGGTCACGGGCTGGTTCGAAGCTGGTCAACTGTCCAAGAACTAGACTCGAGCAGTGACCAGGTTTTTAACATGGCTGTAACGCCGTTATTGGTCAAAGAACCATGCTGACGATTGGTTAGCGAATCTGGTTAGCAGCCTAGCTTCCTGTGAATGACAGAAATGCAGATTGAGAAAAAGTGATCAATCTTTAACAGCAAGATCTTGGAGGTAACCAGACGTCGCATTCCTTGGTTAAGCCAACGCTCTCTAGTCTCCGTCAAGTGTTGGCATTGCACTGTATGATGGGTCCGAGATTCAGAAGCAGCTAGCAGGTGCCCTAATGCTATGGAACAAGGTTAAAGTTGGTCACCAAAAGCAGAATGTGCGGTGGGATCCCTGTGAAACTTGTGTCTTACAACAGTGTGTTGGAGCGTGGCTAGCGGCAAGAGCACGGCTGGCAGGCGAAGCAAGATGAATGTGAACCCCAACTGTGAGCCCCTGAGAGAAGGTGAATCACCAGTGAGAAGCCAGGTAACTCCTCCTGGGCTTACTGGCAGGAAATCTGTCTTCCCCGCTCCTAGTGACGTGACAGCTTTCTGACAAAGCCGCTGCCTACAGCACCCTCGGTTGCTTGGAAACGCAACTTGTCTCCGTTTGACAACAAACGAGACCAAAAATGCTCCAAAAGCATCACTAGTCTTGAGCTTGATTCTTGAAAGATCTTTGTGGGGTGATTTGTGGCGAAATTGCATCGTGAGCTTGGAGATTGGCTGCCATCGTTGGTTTCGTGGTCCAAAGAGTTGCACAGACCTGAAAACTCTGCTCTAAGCTTCCAGAACCCAGCATTCTGATACAGACTACGTGCAGGATTGGAATATGTAAGAAGTCAGGAGTCAGATCTAGCTGAGCCCACAATGGGGATTCACAATCTCCGTGTGAAGCACCTTCAGTACCACTTGTTATGCCGCTTTGTTGTAGAAACCTTTCGTTAAGCCTGAATCAATATGGCGCATTACAACATCTGCGGCAATTACCTAACCGTACAGCGACCGTGCTCTTTACAGTACTGCGTTACAACAACATGTCAATGACACAGACTCCATGGCAGCTGGACGAGAAGGAAGCAACACAACGATTCCACCCAAAGGCCCAGTCCATGACGTCACTTTCCACTGCTCGTTTCTCTCGTCCATGTTTTCCCCCACAAAGACGGAGGAATATACGATTCTGTAGGTACTGCAGAATTAAAGGAAGCCCATCCAAACACGACGGTCACGATCACCACATTCTGCATAAGCATTTGGGACGGTACTGCTTCACAAATTCTCGTCCCTAGTTGCGCTAGCTCCCGCTTCTTGTCCCCCCAAGGTTATATTCATTAAGAGTCCTGGTGGGTGTTTTACTATCCTTCTTGTGAAATGAGTTTCCTAGAGAAGCTCTTACTTCGATAACCCCCAGCTAGATTCATCTCATTCTTCAAGAAGCTAGAGAGTGGATAGAAAGTAGGAAGACAGAAACTCAATCTTTTCAACGGGTGCGTACACTTCCTTACGAGTTGCGACTTACCTGATGGTCGATCAGCACCATGGCAGTGTCCTCGAGCTTGAAGCGGGCGGCAATCGCTGCAAAGAGCTGACGTCACGGAACGTGTCCAGCAGCTGGGCGCAGGGAACTAGCGTCTTCTTCCAGGGTATAAGGGTAGCGTCTTCTTCCAGTTAGGTAGCGTCTTCTTCCAAGGCCCCAGCGTTTTCGATCTTCTTGGGTAGCGTTTTCTTTCAAGGACTCAGCGTCTTCGTGCAGTCGTGTTGGTTGAGCTCTGATGCTTGAGGGGATTATTGCGGCTACCTCGCTCATTGGTTTACAGTGTAACTTGAGAACATGGTACAGGAGTACTTAAGTTTTGAAGTTTTGAAGGAGTACCTACTTGTGACTTTCGTCTTGCCAGAACATTGTTGCAACATGGTCCAAATGTCGATCATGCACCGCTGACGTCCGACTCACCAAAACGCATCCTGCAGCTGGCCACTAATTACTTACTACTGTACAGTACTGAATTCTGATACCCCCCGGCCGACGGCGCCCCCTACTACGTTGGGAGCCGGGCAGGGGTTCTGGCGGGGCGCCAAACGGGGCGCAGAGCGCCCCGGGGCAAATGCTGGCGCCCCCGGGCGAAAGCCCGGGGCGCCAGAGCGCCCTGGGCTGCAGGCCCCGCCTACTTTTGGAAAACTATTCCAGGCCGCCTCAACCGGGAACTCTGAGACGATTGCCAACTTCTAAGTATCTAGAGAATCGAGATTATCAGAGCATTCAATCAGAGATTATCGGATATTTTCCCTCACATATTAGGACAGAAAGGAAGCCCATATGCTTCCAGGAGCTGGGGATAAGCGCTCAAAGTTTGATTGAAACTGCTGCGGCCGGAATCCAAGTCGAGCCCCCTAAACTGAGGTAAGCCAAGTATTATGATCAATATTCATCTGCAAGGATATGCTTCAATAAAAGCAGTTGTTCCTGGATACGGGGGCACGGGATTCTTCTAGACTTTGATTGTGCCCACTGCCGACTGCTTGCATGAACCGTAGACAAACGTCTCGACTCTTGACTCTTGAGGCAGCCCATGATCGGCTCGGTTAAACACAGCTTCCGCCAGAACACCTTCTGAACCGGGCGCTGGCGCCCAGGCTTGGGCGCCCCAGGGGAGCTGGTCGGCGCCCCGGGGCGAAGCACAGGGGCGCCACAGCACCTCCGGGCAAAATCCTGCTAGAACCCCTGGATCCGGGTGTCCGAATTATTATGGTGACGTGATCATTTATGCTTGAATTAATTCTCTACCGCCTTGTTCTGACAAGATGTGCGTCTGGTCTTCAAGGTACGTACCTACTGAAGTTTGCCGATGAGGGAATGGGCATGGATTTTCTGGTCAGAAGGCCGAGCACTTACAGCGAATTGGTCGGTCGACTTGGAACTGTTCACCGGATCGACAAACCGGTCATTTGTTTTTCCGGCAGGACTCAGGAGTATGGGGTTCCTAGATTCTAGTCCAGTCGGGCTGATCCCACGGGCCCCGGGGCATTCTTTTCGTACCTAGTTCGGCGGCCTGGTTCGTGCCGCACCATCGAAAAGAATCTGGCTGCAGATTCTTTTCGATGGTGCGGCACGATCCGTCAAACGATTCCGCCCGGGAATCTGACTTAAGCCAGTACGGTTACTACGGTAGGTACTAGGTAGATACTAAAAAAGGATGAACAATCTGAGGACACCACGCTCATCAGCTGGAGACGTGGGACTCCTATACCTGGCGACGGTCGCCGGAGCGCGGGTGCCAAACCGCACGGCGGCCCCA